AAATCCGTATTTCTCCCCTCTCCGGTGAAGTGAGGGAATGATGCACGACCATTCAAAAATATGACTGGGCTTCTAATGATACAAAGCTTAATGCAAATGGGTGAAGTGTCCCTTTAAAGAGAGCATTGATTTCACATACATGGATTTATTGTAGTATTAGAAAAGAGTGTCATGCCCTTGTAACTGTTTTTTGATTGCATGATGCAAATTACTGGGACTTGGCACTACTACTCATGCAAGTAATTGCCTATAATGAATAGTAAATTTCCAATAATTGTGAATATGGCTTCACTTGAAAAAGCTGTCTAACTCAACACCATACAGTCCTATATTAATTTCCCTATTTCTTTTGAACAAAGGGACTAGGGAGAGCCCAAATCTTTCCAGTCATTCCAAAATCCTAAGCCTGTCACCATGGCTGAAGGCTCGGCTATCCCCCACAAAAAAAAAAGTTAAACCGGATGTGTGGAAATAGAACAGACTCCAAAATAAAGAACAGGGAGTGTCTATCTGTTTTTAGTGCCATTATAAAAGTATGAAGTATATTTTCAGGATCATCGTGATAATACCGTGTATCGCAATTATTTTAGCCAAGATAATTGTGACATGAAATTTTCATTTGGTCCCATGCCTAGTTTTTTTAGGATACTATTCTCTTTTTCCTATTTTATACATCAAACTTTCACACAGCATACACACACACACACACACACACACACACACAGTGTGTGGAGCTTTTGAAACCACTTAAAAGCATTAAGAGGATGCAGTCACTGTTTGACCCATTTCTCCAGCAAGCAACTCATCCGACGCACACCAGACTTCAAACTTGTCACTGGCCACAGAGCATGAAATGTGAAATTAAGATGCTTCTTTGCCTCGAGAGTGGAATGCATGATGTGGTTTGTCTGGTAATGCCCATACAAACATCAGCAAAACTTTGCCACAGCTTGTGCTAAATGAAAGGGAATCATAGAAAAACCACAGAATGTTTTGGCCGAAACCATATTTAGCACAAATGTTGACCTACAGGATTTGAGGAGAAGTCAGATACGTAATGCTTATTTCTATTTCCCTTTCAATTGGTATTAGTGGTGCGTCTCAAGTTCACCTTGTCTCAGGCCAATGAACTGTCTTGGTATTACATAAGAAATACACTACATCCCTTAAGCCTCCCTTTTACCCCACCTAGTTCAATCATAACACACTTCCAGTAAAGTAAAGAATGAGCAGAAAGCCATGGAGAAAAATCAGCAAACTGACCTCTTTGTTTGGGTTATCAAGCATAGAGACCAGCGCTGGGATGCCTTTCAGACGACGCACATCAGACTTCACCTGGAAAGCAAAAGGACATATCACAGTCAAGTAAAGTCCAATTTACTGTTGTTACACAGAAAATCAAACATATGTCAACATCAATCAAAAAAAAGTTAAGACACAGGACACAGGATATCATGTGGAAGAAATATCCTGGAAAATCCTTAAACTGCAATTAACAGCAACCATTTTTTTGGTGCTTTTTCTTCTTTTGAAAAAAATAAATAAAAAGGTTTAAATATAATATATATGAATATTCTCTATCTAGCCATTCACAAGTCAAATGTTGCTATGTCAACAACTAGAGACATCAAAAAATGTGCAGGCAGCTGCAGATAATGTGTGACTGCTGTCAAAAGATCCATTATAAACTGTAGTGAAATTCTTCTTTTAATATTATTGGTGCAGTATTGTACATGTTGTGGCCAAAACTGTAGTCTTGATACTAGTGTCATATAAAATAAACTTCACTGCAGAACAGACACCATACTGTCTGCATCTTTCAGCCATCTGCAGCGCCATATTTTTATGTTTTTTTGCCTTACTTTAGGTCTATAGTAGAACTGCACAAAGTAACGCTGCCTATCTCTCTTTTTCTCAACATTGTTTAGAATTCAGACATCTGTTTGAATTAAATTTGTTCCAAATTGTTGCTGTCAGTTCTTGCCGGGCAGAAGGGCAGATTAAAACATGCAGTGTGAGTTAACACAACGTGCAAGAATGAAAACACACAGTGTCTGAGACAGACTTTAGACAGACTGGTTAACCAAACAGCAGTACTGACTGAGGAGCACGTCCAAATTGGATATTAAAAATGGACTTCACTGATTAATGAGAAAAATCAAAAAGCATATTTTCTTAACAAATTAACCAGAAAAAAAGGAGTAGGAGTAAATTAAGGAGTAGTTGGATGGTTAGAAAACTTATCTTATTCCCAGTCTGGTAAAATTATAACTTTCTGTCTGGCTCTACTATATCTTTTATCATACAGGCCTCAATCATTCCTAAAAGAAAATATACGACTAACCATCTGTCGCTTTTAATTGAAGTCTATTATACTTCAAATTACACTGGACATAATGCTATTATATTACTATTATATTTTGTATCCTTTTTCTGCTCTTTGCACTACATTTCCCTTGTGCTGCTGTGCCAGAATTACTATTTGAATTTCTCCTACAGGGGATCAATAAAGGAACAGCTTATCTTACCTAATGCTGTCTACCATAAAAATATATGCTTGTACATGTGCATTGCTTACTTTATCGTTCTTATAGGTGAGATGCTGCAGGTATGCTGCTGCATTGCTCTTGACTGGGTCCAGCCTGTAGTTGAGCATGGCGATAACCTCTGGCAGCTCCGGCTGACGCCAGCCACTGGGACCGGGCCCTTTCCTTAGAGTGCTGTCCAACGAAGCCATGCTACCTCTTTCACCCTGGGCCAGCGGTGCTCCTCCCCCCCAATAGTACATGTCCCCTGGACCACTCATGTCGCCATCCAAGGTACCCTCATAACTCCTGGGGAGGGAGTAGAAGAACATTTGTGAATGTACGTGTACACGTCAAGACATCAATACAAACAGAAAGTAAAGGCCCTGAAATTGTTTATAACGGTGCTGATTTGAAAACCAAAACAATAACAATTATTCAATATATTTTTCCTTCTATTCCATGCTTTCTCAACAAAAAAAACAAAAACAAAGTGACCATGCACCTCTTACACACAAACACGACAAAAACACACAACTTACCCAGTTCTGCGTGGGGGTCCATGAAGGAATGCATTGTGGTTGCGGGGAACGGTGCTGTAGTGCATTGGGTGTCCCATGCCATAGTCAGGCTCATCATAACCAATGCTGCGCTGATCGTCTTCCAGACCGTACGGCTCTGGGACAAACCTCGGGATGGAGGATAGCTCCAGGGCACTTCCCATACGTCCAACCTACAGAGACAGGCCCCAATATAAAATTTGTGTACTCGAAATCCTATTCAATTTTTCACATATAGCAAGGAAGCAAAGTACCATAAATAGTAAAAGTGATTTTGGAAGTCAAGCCAGTTAAAATTGTTATTGTTTAACATACCTGTGGCTGAGCAGCATAGGGGTCGAGCTGGTTCCTGCTGTGGGCTCTATAGCTTGGATCCAGAGTTCTATAACCATCAGGATGGACCGGTCTAGAGAGGGGTGGGGCAGGGCGGTTGAGAGTGAGACCAGAAAGAGAGGGAAATATTAGCCATAAGATGAATGTCTACCCAGCCTCAATGGCAGGAATCCTAGATCAGCAGGGCCAACGAACGTGAATTTCAACAAACACGGTACCTGTAGCGATCATCCATGCGAGCTCCCCTGCTAAGGCTTGCGTAGGTCTCAGATGGGGGTCCAGTGCGGTAGTCGTCGTAGCCCCCTGGCGGTCCGTAGTGGTAGTTGCGGGGCACAGTATGAGTGGGGTAGTCCATGGGCACACCGGCTCCGGGCCCCTGCCTGTAGACCATGGGTGCAGGGTAGGCCCCCATACCCGTCACTGAACCCCCACCATCCAGGGAAAGTGTGTCTGATACGGAGGGGATGACTGTGCGAGTGTGGGTGGTCTTCACCACTTTCTTTACCTTGAGGAGACGCGATTCAACAGTTAATATTTATAAACTTAAATAATAATGTAATTAACGTATGTCACTTACACCCTAAAGTTACTCCAGAGTTCGTTAATAGTCATTTAGTGCTCTTAACTGCAACCATTTGCAAAGTGAACTCCCATTTTCAACCAACTAATCTTACTGTGGTTTCTGTGCGCCGCGTGGTCCCATCTTCACTGGTCTCCACAGAGACAACGGGTGGCGACTCCTGGGGGTCCTCCTCCACTGTGTACGTCTCCTGCATCACCTGACCAGGCTCCATCCTGAACTGCACACACGAATGAGAATAAAACTCATGGGATATCCTCAGGGGGTTACCATGTTGAGAATTAAACAGCTGAAACGGAGAGGGCAAATGCTTACGTGATGTGTCCCGTTGATGTAACCCTCGTTCAGTGTCAGCCTCTCTATGTCTGCATCACAAGGAATGCGGCCGTTCTGCAGCGAGGAAGAAATTCATATGAGATCTAACACACACACACACACACACACACACACACACAGACTGCTGTATGCAGGGATGACATTTATGAACACATACACGCATCACACCACTGACTGGGCAGTTGAACTTTTCCAGCGTCACAAGCAACTCATATGGCAGCACTGACAAAATAAGATAAAAAAGTGAAAGCAGCAACTGCCATCAATTTTCATTTGAATTTTAATGGCGGCCAGCTTTATCTTGTGAAGCTCAGGCCCTTTACATTTAATTGCAGTAGAAAGAATATTTTGTTTTTATGTGTTGGATGACAAGGGTGCCATTTTTTAAAATGGAAAGTAAAAGTCAGTGACAGTTGATCACTGTTGTTTGCAGTGCGTTTAATAAAGTCTGCGTGGACTGTAAGAATGAAACTTCATGATCTCCACAGGTATGTAAACACTATAAGTATGAACACAAACATACAGAGGCTGTCATATATGCACTCTTCCTCCCTAAACACAAACAATGAGGTAGCTGAATGCAACACAATCATCCAACAAACCTATGAATGAACTGTGATGATGGAATGAACGGGTTAATAATTAGTGAGTAATGAAATGAACGATGATAGAGATATAAACAATAAATAAATATAAAGTAATTTCTCTAATGAGTCGACACCACCAGCATTGCCTGTCCAGGAGTAGTGATGGGTGTGGTGCATTTTCCATTCCAGTCACAGGAGGCGCTCTACTGCCATCTCTGCAGTTTCAACTGCACGACTATGAGGGTAAAGGTGGCACAGCCAGAGGGGTGGGGGAATTACTCAACAGTATTCAGAGATGGAATACAGCTGTCTCATTCTGACAGAAATGTTAAATTTTTAAATCTAAAAAAACAGAAATAACTTGATAAAAGAAAATGTTGTGCCACTCTGGCCAGATCGAATAAAGAAAACATAGGATAAGCAAATGAACACAGAGAAGGTGTTCCGATATGGACTTAGTCAAAGAGAATAGCAGAAAGTGCCGGGCAGACGTGAGCGTGTGGGAACCTGTCAGTAAAAACTAAGGTCGTGTTGCACTGCCTGGGAGAGTGGCAGAGGCATGTTGAAGCCTTCGGGCTATGTAAACACACACAGCAAAGATAAGAACCGGCACAGGCTACATTTCTGTCCTGTTCTCACTATTACACACACTCTGCCTACCTTTCTGCCGCTAGAATTACCTGGGACTGAGATGTGTCCGGTTAAATGCCTGCCTGCGTGCGAGAGCGGCAAATAAAAGAGGGACAGTGAGCAAGAGAGAGAACCCTGTTGTTAATGAGTGAGTGTGTTTCAAAGGTTGCCTCAGGCTAGGAGTGCGTATGTGGGTTTATTCATGCAAGCTAATGACTGAGAGTGTCAATAAGGAAGCAGAAGAATGAACGAACACAGGTGTGTGTGCCTGTAAGTCTGGTATGAGGTAAGCTCGGGCATGGAGTCACTCTGCAGTCTCTCCAGCTAACTGATTCATATTGATGATAAACAGGGTGTGTAAGCAAACAGCAAAACACTCCAGCGTGTACACAGTACAAATTTATTTTTAACCAAGAATTCCCAGCCGATGAACCGTGTCTGGGTGGACCCGTGTCCCAGTTAATGGATTTTGCCTCACTGAAAAAGCAGCTGAGTGACATCTTATTTATACCAGAAATAAATACAAACAAATATAAAAAAAAAACAGTTGGCTGATATTCTGAGAGCTACAACTGAAACTTAACTCTTGATGATGGTCCAGGAAAAGCCCAATAATATAATAAATAAAACGCCAAGCAAAACATCTCTGCATGCAATCGTCCTTGGACAAGTCACAACAAACAAGATGGGTTGGTAAGCTTGATTGTTTGGGGGGGGGGGGGTCAGGATGAAGGCAGGACTTTTATTTTGAATGAGACATGGATGGTTACGGAGGAACCAATGGAAGATGGGAAAAATGCATGAACAAAAGCTGCGAGGACCAACAGAGGGTGTAAATGACCTCCTCAGGATGGCTATATTGGAAGGTGCTTTTGTCGCTTTATTTGACTTTTAACTTCCAAAATTCAACCTAAATTCAAGCACACTTCAAGAATCCACCCTTAGAAAACCCACAAGGAGGTATTTCCCCCCCAGGTTTGGTTTAGGTTCTGCTGCCAACCAGCCAGTCCACACAGATGGGATGGGGATGACCATGGAGATGATGTTGGATGAACTCGCTCGGATCAAGGGCGAATCCGAGGGGTTTTTTTTTCGATGGAAAATGTGAGGGTGGGTGGAGAAGGGGGAGGGTTGTCCATGTTACCTGCATGTTGGGGAGGGGGCGGGGCAAGGTGCCGGCACACGACCTCCGCTCCTCCTCCAGAGCTCGGCTCAGCATCTCAAACTGCCTCTCCTGCTCCCGCACCGAGGCCAGCAGGGAGGCCGTACTCGCACACTGCTCCATTCACACGCTGAGAGCAGAGCACAGGACAGGACAGGACAGGACAGGGTCAACACCAGAGAGCAGAAGAGATTCTACCAACACCGGGATTTAATCAAAGAACAGACAGAGCCAGGCTGAATCACCCAAGTATACAGATATAAAGACAGAGGGGACCTGGCACTGTGCACGTCGAGGAACGCACACACTGAAGTGCTAATGAAGTTGATATTTAGAGGTTAAAAAGCAGCAGGAGCTGACGCAGGAAGGCAAAGCAAGGGAAGACAAATGAGGGAAGAGAGAGAACTGCGGAGATAAAGAAGCAGGCATAGAGAAAACATGAGTACAGGCAGAACAAGAGCGAGCAACACACGAGAATTCATCTCGAAAAGTGATTATTCAGTTCAAATTCAAGGTGGGACGAGCATCAGCAGAGCAGGGATGGAAGCGAAATACCGTAATCTTTTCAGAGCGTTTCATCACCTTCTGCTTTGCAGGCTTATAAATAGAAAGAAAGTGAGATACATGACGAGAGACAATTACAGCATGTTTGCAGCTGCAGCGCGTGGAGCTTGTTAGCACTTCTTTCCATGGATGCAGAGAAAGTGAGGAAGGAAAAGGGGAGACGAGTACGTGTGAGAGCATTCGGAGTTATCAAGAGACAGTATCACACCATCAAGTCACACCACATTTGAGGTGTTTTGAATTGAGAGGGCGTGCTCCACAGCAGGGAAGGAGACGGCAGGCCTCGTTTTGCCTCTCTTTCCTTTAAACTTAATATAATCTGCAAGTTCTAGTGGGGGGGGGGCATTTCATCCATGACAATTTACCCTGAACAGGAGATTCAATTAGGTATGGGACATTTAAAATAACAAGTAATAAAAACTGGAGCTCGTCAGTGACCTTTTTTATTATGCATTGGACTTTGAGTGATAGAGTTAATTAGTGCTACTGCAGCATCAACTAGATTTCCTGGAAAAAACAAATAAAACAGTAACCAGTCATGGGTCCAACTATCTGACATCAACCAAGGCCGGCACAATTATTACAACAGTGATTATTCTGCTCAAAAATACATTTTTCAATTTCAGGAGACAAAATTGATTTATTACATGTAAGTGCTTCTGCGTGTCTAAAAGTCAGTGCTTCATAACGTAAGGGCATAACTTTACCTAACTTTACAAATTAAACTCTGTTCTAATTGTCTGATCTCAGACAGAAAGAACAATTCACAAGAAAAGATTTAGTCTTGCTTTTTTAATCCGTTTACTGACATTTTTCCAACAGTCTGATCCTCCTTCTGAACTTTCACTTTCCTAACATGGGGAGTTTAATGATTATTCAATATGTAAAGGGAGTGCTTGACACTAGACATTTCAAGGGAACACAACATATTGAAACATTTCAACAAGTAGTTATAGCAATAATGCATGAAAAATACCAATGAGCCAGTGTGCAGCAACAGAGAAAATCACTTTTAGTACATCAGGATAGAAAACACCAAAGAAAAGAAGCAGAGAAGTTGGTTTTGAAATCGTCAACTCAAGACTTTTGAAAGACAAAGGAGCCTAAACAAATGCCACCGATGACCAAAGCCTAAATTAGAGGAGCATGATAATACGTGAACGTCACTGCAGCCCAAATTAAGACAATGACAAAGTGCTTTTTGTCAGACCTCCTCAGCAGGGACACTGAGGGAGGAATGAGGAATCTGGGGAAGATTACTTCAGCAGTGTCTGTCTAATAATTGGATGACATGAGTGTGGCTCATCTCCAAACCAGGGCAAAAACCATTTTCTACTTCAAAGTTCACTGAGTCATGTAGATCAAATCTGCTCTCTGTCTGCGCACTCAGGACTGGCTGAGTGAACAAAGACTTCTGTATTAGGTGTGAGTGTGCACATATGCCAGCGTGAGTGTGTGCACACACATCTGGGCGAGGGCGAGTCATTGCGTATGCAGGTCTGAGACTAAATAAAAGTGGCAAGTGCGTGGCTGACGTTGGCCATATCCTTGAATAGTTACAACAGAGCTGTGGCAAGTTTTGGTGAACTTAATGCCACCTCCTTTCTTTCCATTTGTGTGTGTGTGTGT